TAATGACGGATGATGTCGGCGAATGTGAGCTGATAAATTGGACGTCCCACCTCCTGAACATTTTATGACCATATCACACTTCATACATACGGCTGTATTATCAATTAATTTCTGTGTTATTTTAGACTTTTGGAGCCCAAAATGCCTCCAAATATCCGATTTCCCCTTTGGATTTTTGACCGTGGTGAATTCGTCCATGACGGTATGAGCTGTTTACAAGTTGGGCTATGTCTAAATGCTTTACGTTTTGTTATTGTCGCCACTCGTCAATACGTCAACATGTTTACTAGCCTTAGACTGAGCACTAACATGGGTGTCCCCTTTCAATGCATTTAAATGAAGAATGATATATAGAAATTATAAAAATGTCGGCGGATGAAATGTATTTACACTACATAATAAATATGAAAAACAACCGGGAAACGATCCGACCTTTCCGCGACTAATTATTCGTTAGAGTATTATACTGTGCATTTACTGCTGCTCTAAAAATAGACTTGGAATTCCACTTTAATTTAGGTTGAAAGTTGAAACACAGATTACAGGGTAAATAACGTCCGAATCTTACAAAAATATTATGTAAAATTATATATATTAAAAAACCGGTATTCCTAGGGGTCGTACCGGTACGTACCGCGTCTGAACGAAACCGCGGTATACCGGTATACCGGTAATACCGCACATCCCTAATAATTTTCAAATACAGTAGATAAATATCGAACATAAACAGGCTGGTGAAATTGCCAGATCGGGCTTAAAATGAAAATTGCACATTTCTTGGAAAGTATCAAAGTTATTTTTACCTTTTTAAAGCATATTATTTCCTACCTAATTTGTGATGTATAAGAACTAAAATTAAATGAATTTTAGTTATTACACAAGAATATTTTGCCTTTGTTGGATTTTAAGCAGCTAAAATTTTCAAAGTCCAAGAACATGACTTTTTAAAATGAATTCCAATTGAATTTTGAGTTTTATATGATCAGATATATTCATTTGAATGCGCCATCATGTAAATTATGGCAGTTCTAATCTGTGTAAATTTTTTTATCAAGAACATGTAACCCTTTTGGGTGAGTGTGGTCAACAATTGTTTTGCAATTAAAAATACAGCATACAATACAGAAATTTAAGGTGCTGGCGCATTAGAAGAGATACCCAGGATGCAAAATAATCCAGATTTGAGGAAAAAGGCAAATGCAAAAGATGTGTTTATGGACTTAAAAAAATTGGACCATATAAAAATGAAAAAAAAGTGATGTGAAATCCGTATTACTCATAATAAAAAATGTAACGTTTGTTTAAGTCTATCTAATTATAATGCCTAAGATATATCACAAGTTTAAAAGCAATATCTTTGACTGTTTTTGAGAAATTACATTTTTTTCATTTTAAGCCCAATCTGGCAATTTCACCAGCCTGATAAAAGCACAATCAATTAATTAGCCTTAATTAAACCCTTCCCAGGAACTGACAATAGAATTTTAAAATGCGTTTCACGGAACATGCAAACTTTCCTTAATGATCAGGGCTCATCCTGGGTGGAAATTTTAGGGAGAAGTGACTTCTTCGCAAAAAATAGGGAGAAGGGAAACAACCCAATGTGCATGCATTAACATGCATGGCTATACATCTGTTAACTATAATATAAATCAGCTATTTATAAGCTTTCTCTAAATATTTGTTTATATATTTTCATGTAGATTTATTGATAATAATGTGTAAGAAAAAATATGATGAATAAACTTATTTTATATTATTACTTTCCTCACTTTTAATAGAATATAAAGTTACATTGGATATTGATTAACAATATTTGTCTATTCTGTTCTGATTACAGAAATTCTTTTATGACAATATATGTTGTAATGCCAGATTTATGTGCATATAATTATGCTTATAAAACAATTTTCAAACATCAAAGAATATGTAAAATATGTACTGCAAACATTTGTGCACATTATATTTGATCACAAAAATTATATACATTCATTTCTTATTGAAAAATTTGACTGAGAAATTATAGAAAATAAATTTCTAATTACCTCCCTTTATTTTCATGAAATGTTAAACTCGTAATATCTTTATAAATAATGCTTTTTGATATTTACAATATTGATAAATCTTAATCTGAGCGTCATATTTATGACATTAAAACACATATCTATTTTGAAACAATAAGAACACTTCTTTCCTGACAAATTTTGTTGTTATATACATGTACACATGATATACGACCGATATGTAGCATGCCGATCATGATTCGTAGTTTTTCCGGGATGTTGTGCCCACGTGCGTAAGCTGTGTCAAATTTGGCATTTCTACAAAGATAACAATGCCAAACACTCTCATTGTCTACAATATACCAATCGTAAGATTTTTGCGAATTGGCTTTCTTAAATTTTCGCGTAGATGTATCAGAATCAGTAACTTTCTTTTACTGCTAGTTTTGGGCATTTCGTAGCCATGACGTGAGCGACATAACAATTTTTAATTGATGTTAACGGACTGAAATCATTCAGAATATGATTAAGTTTTTAATCCAGTCGCTGATCAGTAATGAAATTGATTATTTTAAATTGACTAACAGTTTTGTGATAGCCGTGAAAAACCCATTGCACATCACCGTTACTCGGGTTAAACACCGCGTGTATATCAATTAGGGAAGATTTGCACGTGTTTAGATGTTCGGGAAAAAACAATCAATAATTATCGCCTAATCCCGTATTAAACTCGCAAAACTGTCACACAATTAAACCCGTTTCGGGCCGATGCTCTCATTATTTACTGATTAGAGTAGGCGGTCTATCGCTTTGCATACAGGTAGACGGGTAGTATAAAGCGACGCTCTGATTGGATAATGATAATTAGCAGTCGTCATATAGGCGGATACAATCTCTGCTCTTTACATCGCTAAGTAATTACTCTTTGGGAATTAAGATTTTATCGGCGATGTTGACTTCTCTTTGATCAATTGGGAGAGCGAAATGGAAATATACACGGCGAAGTTTTCGCCTGAATCGCCCTTCCGGATGAGCCCTGATGATGGACAAACTTCTATATACCGTTGGTAATTGACGCAATTATCAGATCCCAACAACAATAATGTTCGGGTTTTTTTGTTTCATTTTAAAGGTGTCGAAAACTAAACTTAATGAAACAAAAAAAGGATTATCATCAAAATTTTGTACACTATTTCAATGGAAAAGAGTCAACTCGGCCCTATACCAACTCGGCACGGGTCAACTCGGCACGGGTCAACTCGGCCCACTTTACAAAATATATATAACGTATCAACTTTGTTTTGCATGTTCTTAAGGTAAGTGAATAATAAGAAATATCTTATTATTATATAAAGATACATATTGTACTTCTGCCAAATAAAGTATATTTAGAAAAAAAAGTTATTTATTTGTCATATATCTATAAACTCTCTCTGTCGAATTACGTAAATAATTTAAGATAATATAGATCTAATAAAAATGTGTTTCCTTAGATGCATATGTTTGTAAAGTAATATTAACAAAAAAAATGAAACAAAAACGTGTTTACTTAATATCATAAGTTTCTATATATTAGCACTGTTTGCTCTTTGTTATATTTATAAACTCTCACGATTAAACCAGAGACATAGATAACAGAGATAAGCAGCTCCTATGTACTCCATTGAAATATCACTCATGCCTATCAAAAAGTGAAAAATTAGGCATTTTGTAGCAAATAAAACTTAATAGATGTAAATTTGATCCTTTAATGTTATATACCATTTGAAAGGTAAATCTTTTATCTATTGCTGCATGTTAAAATATGGGTAATTTTCCATGCCTTTCACTTAGAAAAACATGGCAGAACGTACCCACTGAGCCAGTTTTTTGTCATATGAATAGTTTTGTAACAAAAAATTATTAAGTAGTTCTCTTTAAAAAATAATGTAACATTTAATTAAATGGGAACTGTAAATATTTTTACCTGCAGCCACAGACAAATGCATAAGCTTTCAGAAAATGTATTATTTTACTGATTTTGATATCTGGTTAATAAGTTTTACTTGCTACAAGTTTTAAGTTTAGCAGGTTCGCGTGATATTTTTACTGGCTAGGAAGTTGCCTATCTCTGTTATCTATGTCTCTGATTAAACCTACCACGAGTAAGAAATACAGTGAGATACTCAATCGGTTATTTTTACTCGCAATTCTATTGAAAAGAAAAGCCTGCCTGCTGCTAGTTCGTAAACTGTCAATCCGTGTATAATTAATAATTACAAAAATTACAATAAATAGTGATGCAACAAACCTAAATATTAATAATTGGAAAGTGGGCCGAGTTGACCCGTGCCGAGTTGGAATAGGGCCGAGCTGACTCGGGGGCCGAGTACGTTTTAGGGCCGAGCTGACTCGGATTCTATTTCAATTGATGTTATTTAACTGCGACTTTAAGTTATAAAATGACATACGCATTTTCGACTTCCATGTAATTTTGAAAATGCAGCCAAATTATACGGGGAAGTCAAAGACCGGGCCCGCGAAGCGGGTCCGGGCTTTGGCTTGCCCGGCTATAGACTACACGTGTATATTTAAAAGAAAATCAAATAAAAAACGTTTCAAAAATATATAGAATTCTATACCTATCAATGAAATTTTCAGTGTCAGTTCTACTGGGGCGCTGCCATTTACAATGTAACTCAATGATAAAAGGCGTGGTATTCCGATAACGGAACAAATCTCAACTTTTCGGATAAATAATAAACGTCGAGTGTTCCGAGTGAAAACGGAAGCGGTGCATGTAATACCGAATGACAATTTTAAAACGGAAAGAATGAAAGGAATTTTTTAACGACTTCCCCGTTCATAGGCTTTGCCTAATTTCATATTACAGTGTGTCCTGGCTAGTCGTATGTGACTCACGTACGGCTAGAACTTTTGGCTTCTGTCCTGTTAAGTAAGAGAAATTTTGTTTCATTAAACTTGTTTCGTATAAATGTTATCCCAAAAAACACTTACCAACGGTAACTAATGTGGTGAAAAAGGCAAAAACAAGAAGTTCAGCTTCCATCTTGACTGACTTCAAATATCTCAACCGTACCATGGCTAGACACCTCAATCGCATCTTCTCGGTGCTTTCCGTCAAACTGTGGATAAGGATACAGTACGGGTCACCTACAGTACGGTACGTTGGCCAGTATGTCATTTTAGAAGATGTACTAAGTGATAATACTATTAAAACATATCTTAAAGTATATTTTGTATGTTTGTATGTTTCTTCTAGCCAAAAGTTCTAGCCGTACGTGTACGACTAGCCAATCGCCACTACTCGGCCCTTTCCGTCAGTCTTCGGATAAGGACCTTCATTCGGAATAGCCTCGGCCATTATCTATAATAACCTTATCCGAAGATAGACTGGTCCCTTGTAGTAAACAGATCTTAAGAAAATTTTGAAGTTATGCAGAGGAGAAGCAAACAATACAAGTACAAATGTTGCTGCAATGCAGCAATTGATAAGCTCCGCGCAAAAGAATGCGCACATTACAGATACCTTACCAAATTATTCCTACGCACAGGTCATGTTATATTCAGATTAAGTACTATTGTAGATTTTTTTCCGAATGTTTTGTAAACCATTTTTTGCAAAATTATACATATCTTATGCACTGTCCATAATTAAAAAGAGGGGCCAGATATTTAATTTGAAAAAATGCTTTCACTGATGCCTACCTGGTAAGGATTGAATACAAACAAGACTTACAAGACTTGTATATGTTATTTGACATGACTGTACTGTGTTAGATTATACTGTACAACATAGTCAGTAACATAAGATGATACAAATATCAAAGTCTGTTTTTAGCTCACCTGAGCAATGCTCAGGGTGAGCTATTGTGATCACCCTGTGTCCGTCGTCCGTCGTCGTGCGTCGTGCGTCGTGCGTCGTCAACTTTTCATATAAACAACATCTCCTCTGAAACCAATGACTGCACATCAACCAAACTTTACAGAAATGATCCTTGGGTGGTCCCCTTTCAAAGTTGTTCAAATGGTTCCGGTCTGTTGCATATGTAGGTCACAGGGCCAGAAAAGGATTTCAAAAAACACAAAATTAAAAAATCTTCTTGTCTGAAAGTACATGGGCCAGAGCTTTGATTTTTGGTATATGGTATCATCTATGGGTCCTCTACCAAAGTTGTTCAAATTTTGTCCCTAGTGTCAAAATTGGCCCCGCCCCGGGGGGGTCATAGGTTTTTCCTTATATGTCTATAGGTAAATCTAAAAAAATCTTCTTCTCTGATTTGGCAAAGGCTACAGGTTAGATATTTGGCATGAAACAATGGTAGTAGACCTCTATCAAGATTGTTCAAATAATGGCCCTAGGGTCAAAATTGGCCCCGCCCTGGGGGGTCATTGATTTTCATTACATACATATAGTGAAAACTTGAAAAATCTTCTGGTCTGAAAGTAAATGGCCTAGAGCTTTGGATTTTGGTATATGGTATCATCTATGGGTCCTCTACCAAAGTTGTTCAAATTTTGTCCCTAGTGTCAAAATTGGCCCCGCCCCGGGGGTCATAGGTTTTTCCTTATATGTATATAGTAAAATCTAAAAAAATCTTCTTCTCTGATTTGGCAAAGGCTACAGATTAGATATTTGGCATGAAACATTGTGTAGTAGACCTCTATCAAGATTGTTGAAATAATGGCCCTAGGGTCAAAATTGGTCCCGTCCCGGGGGGTCATAGGTTTCTAATATGTATATAGTAAAACATAAAAAAATCTTCTTCTCTGAATTGGCAAAGGCTACAGGTAAGATATTTGGCATGAAATATTGTGTGATAGACCTCTACCAAGATTGTTCAAATAATGGCCCTCGGGTCAAAATTGGCCCCGCCCTCGGGGGTCATTGATTTTCGTTATATACATATAGTGAAAACTTGAAAAATCTTATGGTCTGAAAGTAAATGGCCTAGAGCTTTGATATTTGGTCTATGGTATCATCTATAGATCCAAAACCAAAGTTGTTCAAAATTTTGTTCCTAGAATTAAAATCGGCCCCGCCCTGGGGGTCATTGATTTTCCCTATATGTATATAGTAAAAACTTAAAAAATCTTCTTTTAAAAAACCCAAAGAGCTAGAGCTAAGATATTTAGCATAAAACATCTTCTAATGGGTGTCTACCAAGTTTGTTCAAATAAAAGCCCTGGGGTCAAAATTGGCCCCGCCCCAGGGGGTCATTGATTTTCCCTATATGCATATAGTAAAAACTTAAAAAAAATTCTTTGAAAGAACCCAAAGAGCTAGAGCTAAGATATTTAGCATGAAACATGTTCTAATGGATGTCTACCATGGTCGTTCAAATAAGAGCCCTGGGGTCAAAATTGGCCCCGCCCCGGGGGTCATTCATTAGCTCGATTTTTTTTAGATATATACATATTATATATATACATACATATATATATATATATATATATATATATATATATATCTTATATATATATATATATGTATGTATCTATATTGTATATATATATATCTTATATATATGTATGTATATATATATATATATGTATGTATCTATATTGTATATATATATATATATATATATATATATATATATATAATATATATATATATATATATATATATATATATATATATATATACATACATACACACACACACACACACACACATATATATATATATATATATATATATATATGTATGTATCTATATTGTATATATATATATCTTATATATATATATGTATGTATCTATAATGTATATATATTTATCTTATATATATGCATGTATATATATATGTATGTATCTATATTGTATATATATATATATATATATATATATATATATATATATATATATATATATATATATATATATATATATATATATATATAGACATAAAAAATCTTCTTTTTAGAAAACCCAATAAGCTAGACCTTAGATGTGTAGCATGAAACATCTTCTAATGGGTGTCAACCAAGTTTGTTCAAATAAAAGCCCTGGGGTTTAAACTGGCCCCGCTCCGGGGGGCCTATATACAGGTGAGCGACTTTGGGCCATCATGGCCCTCTTGTTTATTATTATAATTGTAACAAATATACAAATACAAATGTAGTAACAAAAGGGACTAATATTATAATATAGTAATATTACATGCATTTTTTTCATTTCAAATTAAAAAAAAATGGTTTCTTTAAATACTGATAGAAGACTGTTACCTGAATTTTAAGCAGGTATGAGGAAATTCACTAACATCATGTTCGTGCGAGTCAAAGATATAAAAGCTACTTGAAATTGGTGATATATAAAAAGCTATTGTTAATTGATTTTTTGGGAGACCAATATACTTTTTTGCTGAATTGCTTAAAAACCTTTCATAAAAAACATACACCTAATGTTCAAACTGCAGATCAAAGTTTCAGTTGTTACCATGCAATGATGCAATCTATCTATCTATAGTCTATGCTTAATGAGGGTCCATCCGCCCGTTCGGGCACAAAATGCAGCTTTCGCTGTCGAGCACGGACCCCCGGACATGCCACCGGTTGCCCATATGGGCGAGTCCTCCAGACGAGTATTAGTCATTTTAGATTTTTGGAGGATAGTGCAATGGAGGATAGTGCAATTACAGATACCCAATTCCAGAAGCTTCTCCTGATTCTTTAGCGTACCAAGTGTTTAAGCACCCATACACGGAACCTCGATTTAAATTCTGATTAATAATTTTAGTTAGCCAGCCCGGGAATCGAACCTGCAATGCCGAGATTACAGGGTCTCGCGCTTTTACCGATTGAGCTAAGCCGGACTTGCTCAAAATACAGCTTTCGCTAAGGCAGTATGTATGTATGTATGAATGTATGTTGTTAATGCTTAATGAGGGTTCATCCGCCCTTTCGGGCACAAAAAGCAGCTTTCGCTGTCGAGTACGGACCCCGGACATGTCACCAGTCATGCCCTTAAAGTATGTTATAGTTCTAAAATGGTGACCTATTTGATTGGAATTCAGTAATTCACTGAATGAGCCCAAAGAAAATGCTATTGTTTTTAGATTTATTAATGCAAAGGCAGTATGTATGTATGTAGTTAAAGCTTAATGAGGGTCCATCCGCCCTTTCGGGCACAAAATGCAGCTTTCGCTGTCGAGTACGGACCCCGGACATATCACCAGTCATGTCCTTAAAGAGTTAATTTTGAAGCACAAAATGGTGATAATTTACCTCCATGCAATTTCCATGGAGTATTAGCCAAAGATATGAATTTTGAGCCAAAAGTAGGTCACTGTTAAGGCGGTCAATGAGAACCTAAATGTACAAGTAACCTGTTGACAATAGGAAAGGTGTTTAGCCCTGAAAAGGGCTGTTGGTGCCCAGCTATAGGCCCTGCCTTACAAGCCGTCTATCTGTACTAGGGCTCACGCACCCTTAGTACACCATCTCGTCGTCTCAGCCTACTTTGTAGGGGCCACCTCCCCTCGGCCATTTAGTCAGGGACAATCGACAGCTGGTCCCGCAGAAGTGACGAATAAGTAGGATTCCGTAGTTAACGCCCACGGTTGAAGGCTACGTTAAAAAGTTGCTCTCTACCAGCCAAGTTTTGCTAAATCTTCTGCCGATGCCCTGTGTCTTCTCAGCGACGTGCACGCTCCGAGGGGAGGGGAAGTGAGAAGATGCAAAGGCAGTGATGAAATGTAACCTTATAATTATTTCAAAACAACCAATATATCAAAATGTTATTATTAAACATTTAGTTTCATAAATATAAATTAAGAATAATTATCAAAAGCAAACTTATGAAAGTCTTATGCCTGAAATCTTTTTTATATTGACAAATTCAATCACTTATAGTATACTTGATATGTGTGTGTAAATGTAATTCAAAATATAACAAATTATAATTTCATGTACTACTAAAAAAGGGAAATAACAAATTTATAACCAAAGTGTCAAAAATCAGAACATTTATAGCTATTTTCATGTGTCTAGCAGAACTTCTTTCCGTTTCACATTCATTAATATGACATGCTGCGAATCACCGAAGGGGGAACCAATATAATAATCGAAACAGAATTTATTTTTAGCTGTAAATCGAAGGGATTAATTGATAAAATCCGGGCCCATGGACAAAAAAAGTAAACACAAATAGCTCCGCGCCTGTGGGGCGGAGCAATCAGACGG